TATTTGTCAGTATTACATATAAAAAAAAATGCAAAAGTACATTTTTAAATTGATTTTAAAAAAGTAACGGAAAAGTAACGAAAAGTTATTTTTCAAGTAACGGTAACTGTAACGAGTTACTTTTAAAAAGCGATAACTGTAACTGTAACTAGTTACATTTTTTACTCGGTAACGAGTAACTGTAACTAGTTACTTTTAAAAAGTAACTTTCCATTCCCTGATTTATACATTATAACATTAGACACTAGAATTGACTTTATTTAGGCTGGTGTTCATAATCAATTCTCATATTTAAGACCATCTTAAATACAGTCTTAAGAGGTATAATGAACTAGTTAGAGAGCATTAGCATCCTAGATATTGTTTAAGATGATTTTAAAATAAATACAGACTTATGAATACAATCTTAAAGTATCCCCAGTTTTAAATATATTATTACACGTTGATTCAATTTAATGTCGCGCACGCCTGTTGCGAAATAACGACATGTGATAATGATAAACAACTGAATTGCTCGATTTGCATGTGTATTTATGCGTATATAACGTACGGGCATTCTCTGATTTCGAGAACACGGCCGATAAATCAATCCTTCCCTGTAATTAAATCACGTGCCACGCTGCAAACGGAGTAATTTCGAAACGACGCGCTTCCGATGTATCGTTTTACACCACTCGGAAACCACGGATGTAATCTATGCCCTGTGCTAAAAGCTCAAAGCTGATATCAAGCTGTCGCGAAAATCGACGTGACAAATTGTATTAAATCACTCACAAACTGCAACATCGAAATTGCATTAACGGCACAAATGATTTATCAGCTAATTGGTACCTGGTAATATTCCATATCCCGTTGTAACAAAATTCTTACACGATCGACTAAATTCCCATCTTCCATAATCTCCATTTTTGGTCTCTGTCAAATATCATTGAAGACAATTATGCTTGGACGACCTAATTCAATCGGTTCTATATGAATAATTTCATTTGTGCACAAGCAAATTCTACGTGTAGTAAATAAAACTAAAGTGAAAAGAGCGACCTTTCGATATAACATAGATTTGTCGTTTATTTTAAATAATTTAAAATAATAAATACTGATTTTATCAATGACTTCATCAATTAATAAATCAACGAAAAAAACTGAAGCATATAAACTGAGTTGTTGCATCTGAAAATAAACTTTAGCTCACTCTTTTATTTCTTTTAGCTTATTCTTTCATTTACCTATTAAATAAATTATCATATAATTCATCCAAAGATGGGGAACAACCGGCCTTTAAACAAAGTACAGTAAAATAATAATATCTGGTTCTCAAATTAAAGACAACATTCAAGATTTATTTCTCTCGGTAATTAATCTCATTAACACAAATATCAAATTCATTAAACAACCTAATTAATTACTTTAAATCACTCATAAAAAATATAATAGCAATAACATGTATTTTACGTTACATTTATTAGAAACATATTTACAATATAAAACGAAAATATATCAAAACTACCAATTTAAAATGAATCAATTGTGAATAATATGAGTGTGTATATAAGTTGTTTTAGAAAAGGCATTACACATATAAACCTTTTACTATTTTTAAAGATTAAAAAAACATTTCTGTAAATGATATCAAGTACTTATCCCATTTTAACATATCAGTATATGTATAGAATTTTTTTTTCTTTAAGAGATAACTTATATTCTTTCTATATTCCGTAGAAGTAGCGACATAAAGTATAATAATAAATAAATACCAATATTCATGTGCTATTACAATAATTCATTGCTACTGCAGTGCAATATTATGACTTGATATTGATGTTACTCACATGAAGTTTCTTTAATGTCGTTACTAATGCACTTATATACTCTGATTTCTTCTTTTTTTATGTTAGTTTTATGTACAATTTTTGTAAATCTCAAACTTCATTAATGTCAAATAATCTTTAGTAATAAAATTATAATTAGATTATAGATTTGTACAATTATATAATTAAATATTTATTAATACTAATTTTTAGAACTATCTATCACAATGTTTTTCTCTACCACTAAAGGAACATTTGTCAAAACATGCTTCAAATTTTACAATTGTTGGTATCTCATTATTAAGTAGTTCATGTAAGGTTCTGCCATCATGTTTGTATATCCATTGGCTATTTACAAAATCATAACGTTTGGGTCCAGATTTTGGAGAGGAAAGCCAAATTTGCTTGTTCGGTGTTTGGCGATTTATAACGTAAGTACCATATGGTTCACCAAATTTCACAGTTAAAACACCATCCTGCAACAAAAATTTCATTAGTATTGATAGACTCACCTAACAATAATTATAAATTTTTTAATTAGTGCAATGTGCAATATAATTATACCAAATGGATTATACCAAATAGATTACCATAATCACACAATTAAATTTCTATTAATATTATTTCTTAGAATTATCTATCACAACTTGTTTCTAAACCACTAAAAAAACAATGATTAGTACAATGTACATACTCCGTAAGACACATCAGCATCTGGTAGATGTGCTGCTGCTTCAACCAATTCCTCAAAGTACTCAGTTAATGAGTCCAAAGTTACATCACAAACCTTCTCGTACTGCACAGAGCTAAGTTCGCTAAAATCATGTAAACAATTTTTTTTTACATTAATGACATATGCAAATATTGCACATGATTTGAAATCATAAATAACGTAATAATGCTTACTTTTCTGTTGAATACTCAGTAGTGGCATTGAAATTTTTTATAGATAATTGCAGTAACGTTTGTGGATCTCTCTTTGAAAAACGCATTGAATTGTGATTGACATAACCTGCAATGTAGCTGATGGGCCTATTCAGTTGCAGAATGGTTCGTTTTTTGATTGAAATTTTAGGAAGGAATAGATTGCTTGACAACCTTGGAATGATGTAAGATCTCGTCACGACCGTTAACATGATAAATAATCTCTCTTGGCAGTTTTATCGATTAAACAAGTTTCCCGGTTAGTACATACAGTGGTATACTTGACGTATGTTTACATGCTGCGTCGGTATCATCACGCGCGGAACACAATTACATTTTTATTATTTTCTACTATTATTTTGTAAAATTGTTTATTCGACGCGTTTTTGCATGAAACGAAAGAATCTGGCAGAAAATAGTGTCGCTTTGCCCTACGAACCGAGATATTTAGCGTTAAAGTTTTTTTTTTTTACGTCTATGGAGGTTAGGAAATCTGTCATACCGACTACAGATAGTGCTACGAGTATGCCTTCTTCATGCTCTCTGACCTCATGCGCATGCGCTTGGTTACGTTTCAAAACAAATGAGCTGCAACAATAATATTGTTGTCAGACACAAAATCGCACGATGTTGGGTCTGCTTGAACTCGGGCATTTATCGTTCGATAACGAAAAATTAATAAATTTTTTAATTAAAAGCATGGAGTATTAGCAAATATAATCAAGTGTAGCAATTGTGGTAATGATGCTAATATTTGTAAAGAAACGCTCAGCGTGGGACATCTCAAGTTGTTCGTACGCATGTTGCACGTAAGTTATTCGCTGATATTAGTGCGATCATATATAAGATATGCAGGGAATGGAAGTAACTCGTTACTTGTAACGAAGTTACAGTTACAAGTTACTTTTTTGGTAACTTTACTGGTAACTACGTTATTTTCTTTTTTTGGTAACTATAACGGTAACGAAATTTACAGTTACTTTTGTCGTTACTTTGCACACGATTGAACACGGTTCGATTGGATACATGCTATTTATAGCGCTTATCAATAAGACTTGAAAGCCCTTAGACATTCGGCCGTCATGATTCAGTAATTATTTTACACTTCTATCTTCTATGTAATACATAGGACATACAAATATTTCAGTTTGCTGCATATTTTACAGGTTTTAGAATTACAAAATTGTGTTTAAAAAAAATTAAAAAATAAATTAAATAATAGTAAAATGAGAAGGGCTACGAACCCAAAAGCGAAACAGTTTAAAAGACGATGACAATAAGTGTCGAAACGTCGCTTGTTTTTATC